ATTTTTTTTTTCTTTTTTATAGAATTGAATTTTTTTTGTTTATGTCAGTTTAGGAAAACTGAAACAGTGAGAATAAAGAAAGGCTATCGGCTTTCCTTTCCTTTTCCAAGAAAAAACCCAGGCAGGATGCAAAGGGGGGGAGCGCAGATGCAGGTGTGTGCAAGAGGCAGTCAGCTGGTGGCTCCTTGAGCTTGTATCCCCAACCCCAATTATTTATATATCTTTCCTTACTCTAACTGTATGCTTTGTAAAACAAAACTGGACATACAAACTAACCCAAATTATTTACCTAGCTTTCTCACGCTTCATTTTCAAGTCTGACTAAAAGGGGACACAGACTTGAACCCTTACAGAGGGCTGAGGTTCGCTACTTGCAGACCTAGCTTGCTTTTCAGCTGATGGGATGATCTTTTTTTTTTTAATAGCAGTGTCAAAAAGCTGAGTCAGCCATACCACAGCTATTAAGAGCCTAAAACTTCTTCCTCTGTAAGGATTGCTTACCCCTACTCTACGCAGTCAGATGAATATGAGTTGTTTGTTCTGGCAGAGGGACAGACAGTCTGTTTTTCCCCTACATGTATACAACTGATTTCAAGTCACTAGTGTTCTAACTGGTGATAAAAGAGCTATCTTAAGCTTTTCACAGAACACAGTGACACTGTTAAATCAGCACAGCATTTTGATTAGCACGAAGATGAGAGCTGTACAGCTTAATGAGAAAAAGGGGTAAAATCCCTTCTGTACTTAAAACTCCAGTTTCAAAGCAGATAGGTGGCCATATTTTTCCTGTAAGTTAAGAATTTTCACTTTACGATTGATTCAAGGCTATTCAGTGCCAGCAATAGCCTGTGCTGTTTGAGTAAAGAAGAAAAATTGCTTTCATGCATTATTGCATCCTGTGGATGCGTAACAGGCACCTGTGGGGTCTTGAAGGACACATAGGCTTTGATAACTCTTCCTTCAGGAACATTGAGGATCACTTTGGGGTGCATTTTCCCTTTCCAGCATTCTTGCCCTTGAAAGCAGGGGCCAGTGGTTTGTTTGCTCTGTCCTTAGAGATAGTATGGACCTCTGAGGTTCTTCTGTGGGTTACACAACTCCTTGCACATACATATCCCTTAAGTCATCCTTCCTCGGGGCAGCAGTCCTTATATTGCCAAGAAGGTTGAGGTCTTGGCCCTCTCCAAGAGCGTGTTCTCAGTTTTGGGACAGAAGTGAGCCCAGGACCCTTTCCTGAACTTTCCATTCCGGTTATTACAGGATTTTTTGATCAGTTGTGACGATGTGTCCTTTGGCAGAGTACTTCCAGTAGCTGCTTTTGGAGGCTGATCCTAAGCCGAAATGTTTTCTAATGACTAAAACTTCCTGGTAACTTCCAGACTATATTTATATATAGCGCATTTATGCTCATTTGTTCAAGGGCCAAGATGGTCTTTCAACTGAAATAGCTTTCCCCCCCTTCTGAGGTTTAAATCTTTACTGTGTTTGTCATGAGCAGTCTTCTAGCATTGGAGATATCAATAGAGGAAAAATATATTTACTAGCTGACATCTTAGTGAAAGTGGTTGCAGTGCTTTGGAATTCATCATTTGCAGATGCTGTGACCCCACAGTGGTGTTTCTAGGATTTGCTTTACAATGCCAAATGGCCTTAGGCTGCACTCTACATGGTGCCATCCTATCACAGTGCTAGCCCGAAGGAATCGCTATGCAGCTGACAAAATTCAGAAGTGATGCAGATACGGGCATATCAGACTCCTTACATTAATTCAGACGTCCTTGCATTTAGACTGCTTCATATGCTTATTCTCCTGATACTGAGCTGTACTAGGGAAAATTACACACAGAGGAACTTGAGACACTTAAATTACAGTTGACCCCACTCTAACCTATGACTTGCTCTGAACCGAAGAATTCGGTCTGGTATGTCCTCAGAGAGAAAATCTCAGGGGATCTCAGCTTGATAGGTAGGCTGAGTTAAATGTGATTATCCGTGCTGCTTGTGCCAAGCAGAACTGTTCACAACCAGCCACTCCTGTTCCCATACCCATACAGTGTTCTGAGTGTATTTAATGGACTATGCAATAACTTAAAAATCACATGATGGGGTGGGAAGCCAAGGGATACTTAAAAGCAGAAAATGGAATAGAGTGACCTTGTTCTCGTGCAAAAAGCAAGCAGAAATAAAAGACGTCTTATGCTAGCAAAACCCAAGTTTGTATTTCCAGAAACTGCAACTGAATATTTGTATGCCGTGGTCTGTCTGTAACAAGCAGAGTACATTCTGTACCATCAGTGGGGTTCGACTAAGACCAGTGACTCCAGTGAGATGACAGAAGTAGTGCTAAGCTTAGTTTAACACAATCTGCAGAAGCAGCTCTGCACAGTTGCTATAACACTATGTTAAACTAGGCTAAACTCTGAATACTGACATAGTCACTGC